TACCTCTGACCTCGGAAACGTTGGTTAACATCGACCAGACTACACAGCGCAACAACCCAGAAGACAGAAATCTTCAAACGTACACAAGTCACAAAACCTGAAGAGAAAAGACCTCTAGGAACATCTAGACCTATCTGTTTGTTAACCAACCAGTCAGTCAGTGGGACAATTTTTCCGTCTGTCAGTTAGTTAGTCAATCAGCCTTTAAGTCAATTCGATAAGCAGACAGTATATTAGTCACTAATTAAACAATAAATCGAGTGAACAATTGTCAAACTTTTCAGGCAATTGGAGATCTACATTTTGAAATAAAACTCGAATAACTGCGTTAAATTAACCTGAAAAAGTTTGACGTTTTATCTATTCTGAAAAAAAAAATATGCCGAATCTCTTATCTGTCCCTTAAACTGATTAAGAACTGAAAGGATATTTCATCACCGAAGTGTACAAGCAAGGCGAGGCTCTGCTCAGCTCGGCAACATCCTAATCTCTTCTCTCTGGCGAAAGAGCTTCACGCTGAGTCGCGTGTTAAAGTGTGCTGTTGTAACGTACAGGTTCGTTCTGGAACAGTTTGGACTACTAATGGGAGGTAAGTTATAAAGTTACCTTTCAGTGTGAGTTTTGATAGATACCACTTTTTCCGTTCTTCGTATGAAGTGCCTAGAATAAATGTACACTGGGAAGGTCCATCTGTCCACGTGCTTATTCTCAGACGGATTGTAATACTGGGGGCTAATTTAGATGAACTCTGAAGTTTTCTGATGATGGTGCATTATAATCTGTAAAAATTGTTTTATTGGGGTTTTCAAGGCGGCCAGATTAACGCTGGGTTCCGTGGCCGTGTCGGTAGATTCCAACGTTACAGATAAATATTCTGTCTCCTGCACGGCGCCGAAACTCAGAATAACAGTAGAATTAAACTGTAATAGTGTTCAATGCGAATAAGATTCATTCCCGTCAACTTTACCGGATCATCATACGCTAGCTTATTGAAAATAATTTATAATTATGAAATGTGATCCTTTGGTAACAACACATTTGCAATAAATGAATATCAAAATGGCTGTCTTCTAGGTTGTAGCGTCCTGTAATCTGGCAGAAGTTTATCAACATATCAGAAGTCCCTACTGCCTCCATCATCACTCATCGCCCTGATAATGGAGGCAGTAAACGCCTGAAACGTCGGCAAACTTCTACCAGACTACACGGCGCTACAACCCAGAAGACAGAAATCTTCATCGCCCCGATGACGGAGGCAGTATGACCTCTGAAACGTTGGTAAACATCGACCAGACTACACAGCGCAACAACCCAGAAGACAGAAATCTTCATACTCTGATGACGGAGGCAGTATGACCTCCGAAACGTTGGTTAACATCGACCAGACTACACAGCGCAACAACCCAGAAGATAGCCATCTTCTGACTGACAGCCGTGAAAACATCGAATCCTACCATCCTCAACATCAAGGCCAGGAAATATGCAAAATCGCATAGAAAGCATTCGACTAGCCAAAAGTTTTGTGGCTTCACATTTGTGTTGACTGTACCAGAAACCTGAACATAAAGATTGTACAAATACAATAAAGCTTATCAGACAGCGCGATTACGAAATATCTGATGTGTCATGTGGTTCTGAATCTTCCAGCGTTACGTATTTGAAGGAAAAAAACCTTATTTCGGGGCTGTGGCATTACTGTAAATGTTAAGGACTTTACAATGGTCTGATCGCCCATCTAGAGTCGTTTCGCTTGTTAAAAGGGACTGAGGAAAAAATAATAAAAAAAGAAGAATAACAAAATGACGATGATGATATGATGATGATGATACGTAGTAAAGTACCCGGCAGAGAAGACAATTTTCATATATGACTAAATTCTGTTTCGTTCAGGAATGTGGCGGGCCGCGTCTCGAATACGTAACCCTTCAGATAACGCCATAAACATAATCGGGGGCTGTGAAGTTGGGAGATCTTGGCGGCCATTTTAAATCACGAAACCGTGAGATTATACGACGCGTTATCATTTCGTGCAACATGTGATGTGACGCCATCTTGCTGGAACCACAATGTCGCATGTGTGATCTCAACAAAACTCCTATGCGTCCTCTATGTACATATAGCTACTTCAGAAATCAAGACGCAAACTACAGGAATGCAAGGAAATGTTAGTGTTGAATAAGAATATTTTAAATATACAACATTACTGGACACTTTTCCATACATGGTCTAGCGGTCAGAACACTAGCCTTGTAAGCCTGGGGTCTCGGGTTCAATTCCCGGTGGTGCTCAAATTTATAACTTGTGTTGGGCAAGGCCGTGGTCTAGGAAACACGGAGTTTTCCTCCGGGGGCTTCCCCGGTTTCTCCGTGGCATCCCAACAATTACTCCACTCACACACAGAAGAAGGCAATGGCAAACCACTTCTGGATCATCTGCCAAGAACGTATATGAACAGGTCCCAGTCCGAGAAAAGGATGGAAGGATCCTGTTCATATGGACCTGTCGTCAGACAGAACACTAAATAATAATAAGATGACGTGGTCTAGCGGTTAGAACGCTGGCCTTGTAAACCTGGGGTCTCGGGTTCGAATTTATAACTTGTGTTGGACAAGGCCGTAAAAAAAAAGAAGAAGGCAATGGCAAACCACTTCTGGATCATCTGCCAAGAACGTATATGAACAGGTCCCAGTCCGAGAAGAGAAAAGGATCGAAGGATCCTGTTCATATGGACCTGTCGTCAGACAGAACATTACAAATAAAAAAAAGATATAAACTTCCTACTAAAGTTAATTAAGCTTTAGATAAAAGAATTATACTTGCATAATTGATTAAGCTGAGTAATTAAAAGGAATTTTCATACTAAAACACAGAAGACTACACAATGAGAGAAAGATTAACAACCGATAAGTAACAACTGAACAGATTATATTTCTTAAATAATCATGGAGGATAGTATGAGACAGATTACAAAATAAAGAATACCTAAAATGTCATACGCATAAGCTGTCAGAGAAAAAATAGTTAAGGAAAGACCCACAAACAGATTGCAAGACCAAATTAAATTCAGAATCTCAGAACAGGCTTCAAATTCCCCAGTACTTAAAGATGAATAATAAGATACACTATATCTCATGTTGTGTAATTTTGTCGTCATTTGTACCACTCTTTACATATTTTATAAATTACACTTTTATCATAATCCGTGGCGTAACAGCCCTCTGAGATCCAAAGCCGACTAGCTTGACTGCTGGCCTCACGTTCACATGCCTAAGCAGAGGTCGACGATCATCCAACCAGATACAGGGTGACGTGTGGTCAGCACGACGAACCCCCAGTCATTGCTAGTTTTCATGACCTGATTACGCTACTCATTGTAGCTCCCCAATTTCCTCACGATGCTGGGTTGGCACCGGTCCCATACACCGGTCGAAAGCTCATGAGAAATTTCTTTCCCTTAGACTCGAACCATCGCTCATTCCGTATCGCCGGTCCGAAGCATACACAATTTAAAAGTGTGTTACACCTTGAAAAGAAGATGACAGAAAACAAGACACACACTAAAAAATCCTAGTGCTCTTTCATCTTTCCTTGTTTTATGTGTCAAAATACACTTAATGAGTGCTTTATTTGCAGAATTAATCGATTACTGATACTTGGTTCTGTTTCAGCAGGTCTCATTATGCAGCTGGATAAAAGCTTCTACCTAGTGGTGATTGTCTCTGGTGAGAGTTCCTTTTGTATTTGTTTTTGTTATGAAGTGCTTTAACTACAAAACTGCTCAAAGAGGGAGAAATTAAAAGTAATATTTATGTATTACAATAAATATATATACGACACTGACCACTCCCATCCAATGCTGAGGTCAGGAATGAGCAGGAGCTATACCTCCGCTCTCCCAACCACCCCTATGGCATGTAGTTTGACTTTAAAGCTACCAATGTGTACATGTGTCAATGCAATTCTTCTCTGGAACTTCTGAAAATATTTTGAAGAAACCTGATATCACGACTCTACACTAAATGTCAGAAGAACTTGGCCTTTGGTGTGCAAAAAATAGCAGATTTAAATTCCTGTACCATGAGCTACTGGTCAGATTTTAAATCTGCGTCAGTTTAATTGTAATGGTACGCTACAGTAACACATTGTCAGCTGGATTGTGCATAAGAAATAATGCATGGCCAGTAAAGATAAGTACTGATATGTATCGGTCTAAGTGAATTCGATCCATCTTCTTAAAAAATTACACATTGGCGCATGATATTAAACACTACTAATACTAAGAACTATAAAGTTATTTAAGGCATTTTTAAATAAGAATAATTTTTCATCAAAATACATAAATAAAACTGTGTCTGAAATACATAAATATGTAGTCAAAGTTAATAGATCACAAAGAGACCATATTTACAAAATATGTACTCTACTTCTCTACTCTTGTTAATAATGTTACTTCTCTGCCTCTAGTATGCACACTTCTCGTTCATGGACAAGACAACGCGCAGACTCGAATACCCGATAACTTGATCGCGTGTTATCGGGATCAATCTCTTCGACATCCAGAAAACAGGCCTCCCATGTCCATCGAAACTTTTATTGATATTGTCAGAAAGGTTGAAAAATACCAGAGAGGGACAGTGGATATTAATACACTGGCAACATCAATGTTACACAGGTGAATGTTCTCAATATATATAATTTCAACTTATGTTCTAATTTAATATTTTCCATGCTATGTGGTCCTGACACTCTCAGACCATTTAATTTACAAGTTCTCTACACTAGGGGTTCTCAACCCGTGCCCTGTCAAATTGTTTTATGTTGCCCACATATATTTTTTATAATATGATGAAAAATAATCACTTAGTATTGGGAACCGTGCTATGTTTAATGCCTTCAGCAGTATCCTTTGTTACGAACTACTGTATGGGTTAAAGACGACCTTCAAATCAAGCAGTACTAAGTTGTGCTTTGCTGGTGAACACTTGAAGGAAAGATTTGGGGTTTTCACAGCGGTGAGTATGAAGATTTCTGCCTTCTGAGTTGTTGCGCTGTGTAGTCTGGTAGATGTTTACCAACGTTTCAGGGGTCATACTCGCAACAACCCAGAAGACAGAAATCTTCATACTCTGATGACGGAGGCAGTATGACCTCTGAGCCGTTGGTTAACATCGACCAGATTACACAGCGCAACAACCCAGAAGACAGAAATCTTCACTTGAAGGAAACATGGGAATCATACCAACAAAAATTCAACATTATAGTGAAATATTAAAAGAATAAAACATTAGTCTCAAATATCTCAGTAATGACTGAATTTGTTAAAGAAAATGACTGAGTAAATTGTGAACATTTTTGCATTATCAAATTCATAGCGTGTTCATGAGTCAATAAGGGAGGATTAGTGTGGTCCTAGGTCTGGAAAAGGTTGATAAGCCATGGAATATACAGTACATTACAGTTTCTCATTCTTATGTGTCATTTTCAGCAACTGGATGATCAATGGTGATATTCAATCTAGAACTTTCTTGTAGACTAAAGTTAAAATTGCATGGTAAGAGAATGTTTTTGATATGGTGGGCTTTCTGTTCTGCAGCTTTCGACTTGATGGCATTGAAAGAAGTCAGGATGTGTTGGAAATGGAAGGGGTGATACCATACGCAGTTAAGGGCATACCATTCTATAAGCATCGCCTTGTTTTGAGATACCTTGTTCCCAGCAATGAATACCAGTTTCCAAATGAGAGTCTGACACAAGTTGAATTGGTAAGAACCAAGGAATTTATAATACTCATGATTTTTATCAATTCTTACAAAATGCTAAATTCTATGCTTACTGCAAGGTATTTGCATGAAAGGAAACAAGAAAATAATTTAAATTTTTGCTCCTATAAAACAGAAAATTATCACTTAAAATTTTTGTTTTGGTACAAATGGGAAACCAATATTAAAAATGCACCTTACAAAAACATACTGTAAAGACGGTGATTTTGTATTATGCTATTTTATTGACTAACTTAAATTATATCTTTTATTCGCAAAACATGATAACTAAAATAACCTGTAGCTCTGAATCATTTCCTCTTTCAGTGCACATTACATTTTATGCTGTCCCATTCCATCGACAAAACACAACGTGGTGATGAATCAACAGTGTGTGGTAGACTGTCCAATTATGAATCAGGCCGTGGTAGTCGTAAACCACGAAACGCTAGATTCAGAAGACAGGAAGAGGCTGCCATCAACAAACAATCCTTGGGGCCTCAAGATGAAAACCAAAACTCGTTTAATTCAGAAGGGGCACATGATACTGTGGCAGAAGAGGGAACACAGAAAGTTGCAGATACGATAGTTCAGAGTTTAGCAGAGGACGCGTCAGAAGACACATTAAAACAAACTAATGAAGATGATCCACATCAAGGAGAAGAACCACCAGAAACATCACAAGAGGATGAAAATGCAAAGAAAAAAGAAGAAGTAGAAATGATAAAACAAACAACCACGTAAGTCCTTTTCCTTCCACACCTCTTAACGAAGGCGTGGGAGACAAAAATTACAATTTAATTTTATTTGGAGAGATAACATTAGAAAGAAAGAAACATATTAAAACAGCTAATTTCTTAAGTTATATTTGTAACTAATGCCCTGTGCAAACTGTTCATTTTGAAATGCTTCTGGTAAAATCCGCTGTAGTAAATGTTTGACATTTACAAACTATTACAAAATTAACTCCACTGTTTGTAAGTTCAGTCATTACTTCCCTTTTGCTCCACTTAGAGAAATACCAACATTTTTGAAAACATTCTTTATACGGCTTACGCTTAACGATACACATGGAAAGCTAATTTATGTCTGTATATAATGCAGTATCTGTGCTATTGATCTCCTCTGTCAATTTGCAATAAATGTATACAATATTTTTATTTTCCGTCTATACACAAACTTAAAATAATGTTGTTTAAAATTACTTAAAATTATAACATTCTCAGTAGATACTGCATCTTGTTACATTTTTTTTGTATTGACGACATGTTTCAATGTGTATTACATCATCATCAGGTCTATCAATTTTAAAAACTTAAAATCAAACAAATCAATATACGCAACGCAAGATGTACAACAGTTTTTAAAATTGATAGAACTGATGATGATGTAATACACATTGAAACATGTCGTCAATACAAAAAAAATGTAACAAGATGCAGTGTTTACTGAGAATGTTATAATTTTAAGTAATTTTAAACAACATTATTTTAAGTTTGTGTATAGACGGAAAATAAAATATTGTATCGATAAAACACAAACATGACACAATTAAGATATAAAATAAATGTATATATATATATATATATATATATCAAGGTTACACATATAAAGATGTAAAGACTTAAGAGATTGGAGGACATCTTGTATCTCTTTTAGCATCATCTTCATTAGTTCTCTCAAAACATTTAATTTCAGGTATTTGACAGTCATATGATATCTTACAGGGGAAGTGAGTTGAAGAATGGGAAGTTTATCTTTGACGATGATAAAGAGAGTAACAATTACCCACAACAAAGGGCAAAAAATATAATGGAACCAACAACAATCAAGAACCAACTGCCACGTGTTACCGTCTCTACCGTTGAGAGCGACTGCCCGGTGGAGAATGGTGTTGTGAGAACTGACTGGGGGACTGTTTCACTAGGAACTGTACTAAGTGGAATTGTTGCTGGACTATTTCCACAACAGATCAGAATTGCCGATCTTGTTCAGAAGGCGATGCATTCCAGAACTCTAACACCAGAACTAAGCTCTGCTGTTGTTGATAACAAATTTGCCGCTACTCTTGTAGGTATGAGCAGTTTTCCATTTGATTTATTTTTCAACCAAATAAGTGAACTATATCAACTTCCATCCAGTGATTTTTCATAGCTGTGAAAGCAGCTAACATCACCCAGATAAGTGGACATCCCACAGCTGTCTAAACATGTCAGTAGTTTAAGATAACATCCTAGAATCTGGCTACATGGGTTGAGGAATATCCACAAAATATCAATATTCTTGGATCAAAAAATCACTACACAAGGAAAATGTGATTTCATATGCATTATATCTGTATATATATTTGAGAGCACATTCATTTCTGAAACTACTCAATGATAATTTAAATTGTATATCTATATTAAAATGTTTTGAGAAGCCACGGTGGTCTAGCGGTTAGAACGCTGGCCTTGTAATCCTGGGGTCTCGGGTTCGAAATTAAAACTTGTGTTGGGCAAGGCCGTGGTCTAGGCAACACGGAGTTTTCCTCCGTGGCATCCCAACAATTACTCCATTCACACACAGAAGAAGGCAATGGCAAACCACTTCTGGATCATCTGCCAAGAACGTATATGAACAGGTCCCAGTCCGAAAAAAGGATGGAAGGATCCTGTTCATATGGACCTGTCGTCAGACAGAACACTAAAAAAAAAAAATCTCGTAGTTATTCAACAAAATTCCCGCCTGTTATGCAACTATAATATCCATTATCGTATTCACTAGTGTCACCATCGGAGCATACAATAAGCCAGTTGGACGTAGCACATAGACCTTACTGCTCGTTTGAGGTCCGTTTTAATATAATAGACTTTCATGCATTTCTGTAGAACTTAGATAACTTGTCTTCGCGTGCTTCCCTGGGTTGATCCAATTGTATTTCTGGAAGTTCATTTTAATCCCACTTTTTCATGAAGCTCAAATTCAACTTTATCACTGATTTCAAAAATGGCTGATCATATCATTAATGCTGGTTGCTCTTAAGATGGCATAGGCTTATCCAGAAATGTTGTTATAATTTATTAAGCGAACTGCTTATACATTCTATTCCACTGCGTGTAATCAATTCAGAGTCTAACAAATTTTTATTTTAAGGTGATCTTTCGGAGGTTGCTTTGGAGCAGGGTCCCAAGAGACTTCAGGATATTAAAGTTGGAGTCTCTGGTGGATGGAACAGCACAATTTTTCCTCGTTGGTACTTTGACAAAGAGAAGGAAGGTCATGAATTAACTGATGCTGAGATCCGAGGTGGCCTCGATGGTAAGAGATTGACTGTCTGCAGCGGACTTCTGGCTTGAATTTGAATCAGTCCTTTCTCACAAATAATTATAATAAATATCAAAAATAATATTCTAGCTCACACTGTTTGTGCATAGTCTTTCTGTAATAAATATAAATCAGATCAGATTATCACGTTGTAATGTATGAAGGAAATTTCAAGTAGAACAGATGAGATGAAAACTGATCCCTTGCCAATAAAATAGTGCAGCTAACTTTATTGGTCTGTTTTAATTCTGCAGGTTTAGTGATGGGAACTTACATCCAGAAGTGGAAACAATTTGCACCATCACTGAAACTTTCCCAACTATTATCCATGTATTATTCAGAAAATGGAGTGTTTGAAACTCAGTATCGTGCCTGCCAACGCAGGGACTTATATTCTGAGGTGGCTCCAAATACAGTAATGGAAGAACAGGTAAGAAAATTCACATATATATTTATTATTCAAGTCATATACACAAACTTTTAAATTTTGATGTTACAATTTAAAATTTAAAATTTAAAATTGATATTCTGCGCCATTCATCGTTATCTCGATGTTACAATATTGCGCTATATACTACTACATGTTTCGATGTCATAGCATCATCTTCAGGTTTTTATATTTAAAA